AGTATTCAGAAAAATATCTCTTAACTTTTCGCCTTTCTTGCATTTACACAAAGACGCTCCAACCCATTTTCAGAGGTTAAATTTTTGTTGCACCAGAACCACCCAGAAACGCGCTAATCCATTTGGTGCATGAATTTGGTAACAGAAAACAATGTTAAGCTCTACTTTGAATTTTAACCGTCCCTCTGAATCCCACTTCAACACAGGAACGGCACAAAATCATCAAAATTCAGTTCTCCAACCAGAATCTCGCGAACACTAGCGTGTAAAATCATAGGGTTTTGACAGTTCTTTCAGTAATGAATCTGTAATTTGTATAAAACATCCGACGTCCCTCCTTTTTTACATATTCTGCACAAAACATACTTTCTAAGCCCCACCCCTGATAGTATTTCCCTCCGTTTTTTTATGAATGGGGTGGGACAAAAAGTATATTTTGTGCAGAATATGTAAAAAAGGATGGACTTCAGATGTTAATTTAATCGCATATAAAGAGGTACCAGACATGTTTTACACTATTTTGTAGCAGTGAGAGGTACAGTACAGCATACACGACATGCAAATCTTCTCTCTACCTGAATTTTTGGCTCTTTTGATGGGTGAAAAAATTAACGTCAATTCTTTTTAGGTTGTCGTTATAGGAGAATGGGGTGTTTGAAGACCGACCAGGTGGTGAATCTCAGAATTACGAGTTCGCGGTGGACTGTTAAGGATCATTCTGAGGATGTTGTTTTGGATCCTCTGAAGCTTTAGGTGGTGGCACTTAGCACAACTCTCCCAGATTGGCATACCATACTCAATAGCCGGCAGAATGATCTGCTTGTGGACAGCAAGTTTGTTTTTGAGGGACAGGGTGGACTTCCTGTTTATCAGAGGGTAGAGCGACCTGATCAAGAGGTTACACTTGGTGGATGTCTTGTCAACATGGGATCGGAATAGCAATTTGCTATCGAGGGTGAGGCCAAGGTAGACTACTTCACTCGACCATTCAATAGGAGTGCTATCAACATGGGCCTTGACGTTGCAGGCGGAACAAGCCGAGGTGAATTCGAGTGTGGAAACAGAATGGTTTGTGTTTTAGCTGCATTGATACAAATCTTCCAGCTCTTGAAATAGTCGGACAGAAAATCCAGGCCTGATTGTAGTTTATTCGCCAGAGCACGGATCACTCGACCCTTATAGATGATGGAGGTGTCATCTGCGAACATTGACACGATACCACCACCCGGCAGGGGAGGAACGTCCGACGTGATCATGTTGAATAGGATAGGCCCAAGCAGGCTACCCTGAGGGACCCCTGCATCAACGTTGAACGTATCAGAGGGGACATTGTTCAAGTAGACCTGGAATGATCTGCCTGACAAGTAGTTTTTAATGATCTTCACGAGGTAGATCGGAAAGTTGTATCGATGCAGCTAGAGCATCATGCCAGACATTGTCTAACGCCTTCTCGACGTCCAACAATGCCATGGCAGATGAAATGGAAACGAACTTGTTCCGCTTGATGATGTTAGTAACCCGTGCGAGTTGGTGCATGGTAGAGTGGCCTTTCCTAAACCCGAATTGCTCTTTGAGAAAGATGTTATTTTCATTTGAAAACACCAGCAGACGGCTGAGTATCAACTTTTCGAATAAGAGACGAACCAGCCCAGGGCTGAAAGTCTCCTTAATAAAGATATAAAAAAAAAACTTTTCGAATAGCTTCGAGATGGAGGACAAGAGGCTGATGAGGTGATAGCTTTTGGCACTGGTAGGATCTTTGCCTGGCTTGTGTATAAATCACTTTGGCTAACTTCCAGCATGCAGGGAAGTAGCCAAGCTCCAAACATTTGTTGAAGATAACGGAAAGATGGTTGAAGAAGTCAATACTCAAGTTTTTCAACTCGATGTTGACTACACCATCCAAACCCGCGGCCTTCATGTTTTTAGTGCTTATAACAGCTGCTATCACCTCATCAGTCGATATTCTTTTATCATCATGCACTACTACGGGGGTTTCAGCGACTCTAGACATTGCCTCCAGTACGGCAGGCCCATGAGGGCTCACCATGGTTTGACCAAGATTATGTGAAATCACAAAATGTTGGCCAAGAGCATTGTCCTTTTCAACTGGGGTTATGAGTAGGGATGGGTCCAAGCTCTGGTCAACAGAGGAAAGCACAGGGATCGGTCTCGACTTATTTTTCAAAATTTTGGTAATCTTCCAAAATGGTTTTGCACAATCTGGAAGAGAGCGAATCTTGTTGGCAAAATCGTTATTTCTGAGTTCCACCATCCTGGCCTGGATAATTTTCGTTAGCCTATTGACATTGGTCTTCAGGTGGGGCAGCCCAGAACGCTGGAACTGCCTACGAATGGTGTTACGGAGCCTAATAAGATCTTTGGTTGGGCTGTCAAGGTTCAGAGTATGACTCACCTGTCTGGATGCTGGTACGAGTTGCTCCCTGGCACGGGATATCGCCTCTTCGATGGTTGGCAGACACTGATCGACTTCTTCGAACGACTCCGGTAGGACGTCGTAATCGATTGCTGTGTCCACACAGCGCTGATACTGCTGCCAGTTGACACAATGATAATTTCGCCGGGAAACTTGAAACCTATTGGCCAAGGAATATATATGATAGGTGATAAGTTGAGAGATGTTATCGCCAATGTTGCTGATGAAGATGTCGATGGTGGCATGAACCCCGGATCGACTCAACCGGGTGGGAGTGTCCGGACACAGGATGTTGTAGTGGGCTTCCTGCAGATCGTTGTATAATATTGCGCCGTTCTGGTTTCGCTTGATGCTTGGCGTTCATGTTGCCAGTGATGACGGAATTTTGCCGCCGTCGTGTTAGCTTGATGATGTCTCTTCGGAGGTGTGCGGCCGAGCCGTCCCTAATGTTGGTTTGCTTGGGGCAGTAGACCGCGATTATGGTGATTGGACCAAGCGATGTGCTCACCTCAACTCCGATGGCTTCGATAATTTTCAGCTGGAAGCTTGGTAGTAGCCGGCAGCAGATGTGCCGTCTCACAGCGATGGCCACTCCTCCTCCCCCGGAGCTGGTGCGGTCAAGCCTTACGAGCTGAAAGTCGGGAAGGGAGACGTTCAGCTCGGGCAAACAGGTGAGTCTTGGTGATAACGACTATGTCGATGTGTCGTTCGTTGAGAAAATCAACAAACTCGATGTTTTTGCTCTTCAAAGAGCAAGCATTCCAATTTACGATCTTGATGGCTTCACGGTCCATACTTAGTGACAAGGGACAGGGCAGAATGTAGCTGTTCAGATCGAGTCTTGCATGTGCGCATGATGATGATGACCTCGGCCACGAGCGTCACAAGTTCCTCCGAGGTGAACGGAGAATCGTCGACAGGTTCACCTGAGACAGCACCAGCATATGATAAACCAGGGGCGGTGAATGGCTGGTCCGCAGCAGCACCGAGACGATGCTGAACGGTCCGACTGTTGGGAACCATTTGGATACTCGCAGGATTGAGTCGACGGGGCTGGAAGGCTGGGTACTGGACTTCCGTGAGTACAGGAGGCGAACGATGATTACGGAGGCGACCGAGCTGGTTGTTGATTGTAGCCTTCCGGCGAGTTGAGTTGGTTCCAGCACACTTGCCGCAGTTTGTATTCATATGGCAGTTTTTGGTGCCATGGCCATAGGAGAGGCAGTTCATACACTGCGTAATATCACGATGTTGGGGTTTGTAATGCTCCCAACTGATGATGACCGGAAACAGATCTCGGATTTTGGATCTCTGGGCCGCAAGACTGGTTGATCCCTGCCTCAGGTTTGAGCCCAAGCCGATCCAGCTCGGATTTCACCGCAGCCACCTCGAACGACGGTAATCCACGCAAAACCACCTTCAGTGGCTTGCTCGATGGCAGATCATGCGTGAAGAATTCCACGTTGTTGTCCATTAGGAAACATCAATTTGTGTGTACTCCTCCAGGCTGGAGCACATGATTTTGGTACCGATGCTGCAAAGCTTGAAGCGAGGCAGCAACTTGTGTTTTACCAGTTCGGCACCCAGCTTGGCAACATCCTTCACCGGCGTGAAAAGCGGGGGAATCCACTCTCTTCTAGCAGGGGATGAGTACTTAAGGGGGTTAGATTTTGATAAGTTCTTTAGTGGGAATGACACTGATGAAGACTGCACATTGTAGTCGAAATACGTATCTGTCATGGATACCAAAATTAATTAAGTGGAATTAAATGGAAGATAACCTTTTTTGCTGTTTTATTTAGCATTCCGCTAACAACCCAATTTCATTACTTCATTATGATGGCTACCAAGCCTTTAGGGATTTTCCTTATTAGAGAGTTGTATAGATTTTTCTCCTTTAGCTTACTTAAATCTTTGGTTTTTATTAGTTAGGTAGGTTCCGATTCAACACATTGTAGTTTCATTTTTATACCTATGATCTTGACTTTTTTACCTAGGGGATGAGTACTTAAGGGGGTTAGATTTTGATAAGTTCTTTAGTGGGAATGACACTGATGAAGACTGCACATTGTAGTCGAAATACGTATCTGTCATGGATACCAAAATTAATTAAGTGGAATTAAATGGAAGATAACCTTTTTTGCTGTTTTATAGAAAATATTAAGCAATTTAACAGTAATGCATGTGGATTCTGTGATCATCCAGGAGAAATAGTTGGCAAACAGATTAGATATAGTTTCGAACATGACATTTCCAAAAGGACTCATCATGCAATGGTTATTAGTAATTCAACCGGAGTTAAAGGTATGTCGTCTTTAGTCCCTGGTTTTGATGTTATACGGAATTTCCCAGTCAACTACATGCATTGCACTTCTCGGTATCACCCGTCAACTAAGTCGTGTGTGGTTTGAGACTCCGAGTAGTGCTAGTTTCAGTAAAAGTAAAATAATCTACATTCATGAAATGCTTTTCAATCAACTTTGTTCACGAAGCTTCTCAAAAAGCTAGAAAATTAAGTGCTACTTGGAAAGCCAACGAAGGGCTTCATAAGCTCATCCATTATAGTTTATAGTTTAGTTTATGCTTGAAGCAAACCCGTGATCTTGACATTTTTACCTAGGGGATGAGTACTTGAGGGGGTTAGGCTTTTGATAAGTTTGTAGTGGGAATTATTCTACTTTGAAGTAATTATTTTGCTCAATAGCCGCACCTATACGGGCACCATATCGTAGCTAATGGGGGTGCCTAGAGTGCTCCAGAGAATCTAGAATCCAGAAGTTTTTAAAGATTTATGTATTTTAAATTGCGTGTATTAGAACCTACAAAAAATCTCGAGGGAGCCTCGATCATCCTTGAGGGGTCGAAACCCCATTAGCTACGTCAATGCATTGCAATCCAAACCAAAAAGCAAATTGAAGCGAGTTCAGAAATATTTCGTTCGATTTGCTCTCCGTCAAACTGACCGTTAGGCCAATTTCAGACCGGTTCTCGGTCGATTAATCATAATCATGTCCGACCGTAGTGATGTCCGTATGTAATATAACACCACTAGTCACTTATGACGAAAACATCGAAACAATCGGTTGACAGATTGTTTGTTGCTTGCCAAGCAAAGAGTAGAACCTCCTTGAAGGTACTTTCTTTTTTTATTTGTAGGGATTCCTGAAAATCCTGCCCCATCAGACTGCAATTTCTTTCCACTGCATAGCCCTTATTAGGCGTGGATTGAGCAAATGAAAGGACCGTACCCACCTCATATTCAAAACCTGTTGTAATTTGAGTAGTCAGAACAAAAGAAAATTGAATATGGGAAAAATCGATTCCGTCAGGATCTCGAAACCTTCAGGATGAAACAGAAGGCCACTTGTTCGATCAGTCTTGTGAGGGCAGCGCTGCAGATTGGAAGTTGGTCTCCAAAGTTCAAGTGAAGGCAAATTGACGGGTTCTTTGTAGTGCTGCAGCTGCTGGAATTGGAATTCTTTTTGAGGCCGTGAGTGCTATGCAAGTTCAATTTGTGATTTATGCTTGATGTTTCTGCAATGTAGTGACTAGTGACTATATATATAGTGCATGGCTTCTAACAAGTGACTGACTATTTGTAGCAAGTGCATTTAGTGCGGTGGTGGAGGTGACGGGTAATTCCATCGTTACCATTGAACTATTTAGCTGTGAACGATAGCCAATTGACTCTGCTTCAATCAGGCTGATGCAAAACTATAGACCGATTGCATTTATAATAGGCAACAAGCAACGCCAGAGATGGAGGAGGGGATGGTCTCAGTTGTTGCTTGTTTCATTTGTAAACATTTAATCTGCGAGGAATTTCTGTATACATGGATAAAGAGTAAGAATTTGATGCGACATATCTTTCTTTTTAACGCTACCCTTATGGACTATTTTGGTGATAATCGGCTAAGCAGTCTTTATTTAATTTAGAACAAAATGGTTAAATTCTGTCCAACGTTGCGATGCCGTTGGACAAAATGTAACTGTTTGTTCTAAATTCAAAAGACTGCAAGCCGAATACCACCCAAATTTTCACTACGGTCGAATCTCCATTCATACTTATGAGATAGGATGAGCGCATCGTAAAAGTGTAAGAGTCAGTGGAGGGGCGCAACACTGAGAGTTCACCACCTACACAGTAAGTGTTGTGAAATTTTGTCTTTTTCCAATCTTTTTTTTAACTTTTTGCCAATCTGAAAACATGTAAATTAACGGACATAACCCCAAGCCAACGAAACTTCCTCAAGGCGGCAAAATGCGTGTCGATTCATGGTTGACATGGCTGGCTATGAACAATGCAATGATCGATCGATTCAGCCACCATTCGGAAGGTATGGCTATCTACTTTCATTGAGTACAGATAAAAACCCGATTGGTCCTGTGGTTGGCCAGCCGGAACTGAAAAAACCCGGGAAAGTCCCGAGCGAAATGCGTGTCGATTTTTGTTTGGCTATCCAATAACCCGGCAATTTGGTTACCCAATTTTAAGATTGAGCCACTATTTGAAAGGTATGACTATCTACTTTTGAACGAAAAAGACAGGGATCCGATTGGACCTGTGGTTGGCCAGTCGGGACGGGAAAACCAGTGAGAGGTGGCTCTGCAAGAAATCGGATTCACCGGGAAAATGGTCATTTCCTGAAAGTAGACCTAGAGATCTACGATTTTCTCTAAATTGCATACAATCATGTGTTTATAGAAAATATGCCATCTTGCTGGATTTCAGAATAGGTCCTATATCCATGGTAGTCATTTAAAATGCCCAAAACCACTCTGGCATGTTTTAGGAACCCCGGAAGGAACTGAATCCGAGACAAATAAAATCAATACTTAGTGCCTAATTTTCTCAAGATAATATCAAAAACGAGATTCTTGTGGGTAACAAAGGTTACATACACTTGCCCGGTGGATCAATGTGGATTTTTAATATTACACTAGCCACAGGTCGGTGAATTTATCGGAGCTTTTAGTGACGATTCATGTATGATGCTATTGTTACTACGAACTAAATTTACCCTTTCTAGGGGGTAAGCATATTTTCAAAGCCTTATTGACATTCTCTCCAAATGTCTGAAGGGTTCAATGACTTGTGCAATTTTCCCGAAGACAGCCACTTTCGCATAGCCATGGTCAATAATATGCTGTCCATGAACGTAGTCTGATGATGATTGATTAGGCACCTAATTAGAACCGGAATCCACCCTAAACTGGAAAATAGCTTCCAACACCCTATGCTGCAGCTTATCACTATTTATTACGCCATCAATTTCCTATCGTTAACAACAATTCTATTTAGCTAGTGATTCCCCGTAGAAGATCTTAACATAAATTGCTCCTCGCGAATCGGTAGTCGCACACAAGTGTAGTAGCCTTCCACCAGTGTTAAACAATTTGTGAACCTAATATCTCATCGATCCCAAACATGGCACAATTCAATCCAGCATACGTTCACGATGGTGACCCTCAGGATCTAGAACCGGATCGTAGCTACCACGAGAAAAAACCATCACGCTTCACCGCTGTACCGTTCTGCAAGCAACCGGACAACGGTGTCGGGCCTCACCCCACCGCAATGACTCTGGTCAAGAACATCCCCAACAAAACGCAACGGGACAAATGGGGCAAAGATATCGAGTTCCTTCTGTCGTGCATCGCCCTGTCGGTGGGCTTGGGCAACGTATGGCGGTTTCCGTTCACGGCCCTGGAGAACGGTGGCGGGGCCTTTGTGATACCCTATCTGATCGTGCTACTGCTGGTGGGGCGACCCATCTACTACCTGGAGATGCTGATCGGACAGTTTTCCAGCCGGGGATGCATCGATGTGTACGACGCATCGCCGGCCATGCGTGGCATCGGCTACGGGCAGACCTACTCGACGTTCATCGTGATGACGTACTACGCGTCGTTGATGGGCGTCACGATGCGATACCTGATAGCGTCGTTCGGTGATCCGTTGCCGTGGAGCGAATGCCGGGACGGCTGGAATACGACGTGTATCGACTCACGGTTGGCGGTCAATTTCGCGGAAAATATAACCGAAAAGAAGGTGTCGTCGGCGGAGCTGTTCTTTGTGTGAGTATGAAAAGTAAATATTTTGCTGGGAAGGGTTCCTAAATGTGGGCATCGATGGCAAAAATGTCTACTTGTTAGGTGCAGACTGCAGATGGACTTTGACATAAGCAGCATTGATGTTTGGTGTGTACGAGCATCTGCACCTGTACTGCAGCGTCCATTGAATTGATGCCAATAATCTCCGATGAGAAGAGAAGTTCCGAACTTTCGTGATGAGCTAATTGAAGCCAAGTTTTGCCGTACCCTAGGATTAATTAAAGGGAACATTCCTTAATTAAACCCCGCAAAGATTTGAGTTGTGTATCAGAGAACGCTTGCGCAAAAAGACTAGGGTGGGGAACGGATTCGAAACTCAAATGTCATTAGCCAAATACATCCGTAGACCATAGGTCCACCGTTGTATAATTGGCTATGCACCCGTGTACTGAATGCGAATTGTGGGTTCGAATCCCACCGGTGACCTTAGATTTTTTCGCAAATTTTCTCACACACACGTCTCTTACCGATGATATGTGCTTACCTCTCAGTATGTTCAAGCTTTCCTATGATATTATAAAATATATACACAGTTCGAAAAAGTAGTGTAAATTTCTGTTCAATATGATGTACATAAATGGAGCGTCACATATCATATAAGTTAACATTATATATCATGTAAAGTTCTGAGACATTTCATGCAATGTAGCAAATGTTGTTTACAAAAGCCCATTGTTGTAAACAACACTGTTTGCAAGTTGCTCGGATGCGTGAAATGAAATACAAGTTTACGTGAATGAATGTTTATACCACTATTAAAAATTTTATCTGTGTATATCATAATAATTTCAAGGGATGAACCAGCCTGCGGCTGAACATCTTCTTAATAAAGGAAATCAATCAATTCATTATAACTTCTTCCGAAATGTTGAATATCGGACGGGGTGGTCGGCTTGAAGACGATTAACTGAATGAATCGATGAGAAATTTTTCCAGACCTGGGGACATTTTTAAGGTAACCGAAAGATGTATTTGAGAGTGTTCAGACTGTGATTTTTAGTGTTTCTAGACTATTTAGCCCAATTAACACACAAAACAACTTTTTTTTTAACAAGACTGTTTTATAAATTCAGTGCCAACATTTCAAAAGGGCGTAATTTCATTTGTAAATATAAAACCATTTGCATTTGTCGTCGATTTCTCGCAAATGAAAGCTCACCCATAAAAATGAATAGCACCAGCAGGTAGATGAATGTTTCCTGTACCAGCTAGCATTGGTAATTTGGAGGGGTAGGCTTTAATTTGCGAAAATTCGACGGCTAAAGCCATTGTTTACAAAAGCAATTACGCCCCTTTGAAATGTTGGCACTGAATTTATCATAAGTTATGCACATCCAATTTTTCGATTTACACTTCCCCTCATCGAGCTCATTTCGTAGATACTCATATTGCATGGGTTTAGATGCATATTCCCTGTCCGGGGGCCGCCATATTGGATTTTGTTCCGCCATATTGGATTTTGGTCCGCCATATTGGATTCCAAAATGGCGGCGGATGTCAATTTTCCACTTCACCTCATCGAGTTCATTACGTAGGTACCCATATTGCATGGGTTTAATGCTTATTTTTAGTCCGGGGGCCGCCATATTGGATTTTGTTCTGCCATATTGGATTTTGGTCCGCCATATTGGATTCCAAAATGGCGGCGGATGTCAATTTTTCGCTTCCCCTCATCGAGCCCATTGCGTAGATATCCATATTGCATGGGCTTAGATGAATATTCCCTGTCCGGGGGCCGCCATATTGTATTTTGGTCCACCATCTTGAATTCCAAAATGCCGGTGGAAGTCGGTTTTTTACTTTGACTGAAATACCAAACTATTGATTTTCCGTTTGGTTTTTTGTAACCTCAAAATCAGCTAAGGTTAAAATCATCCTTGGTTTTGTGCTTTGTGATTTTGCTACTCTCAAGATCAGCTAAGATAAAATCAGCCGTGATTTTCTGTTTGTGATTTTGTTGATCTCAAGATCAGAAGTGATTTTTGGCCGTACCTGATTTTTGATTTTTTGATTTTTTCCATCACTGTTTACTACATATTAAACGTTTACTGTCAAATGGTAGATTTTAAATGTTGATTGATGAATGTGAATTTTAAAATGTAAAGTGCAAAGTGATGATTTTTTAGTTTTATAAGACACATAATAAATGATAAATGTTTGCCTATTACTTGCTTTCATTTAAATTATAATAATTCAATGTTTTTAAACATTGAATTTCAGCTACTACATGCTGACAACTAATTTTCATTTCAGATTAGAGAATTAGAACGTTTCATATGGAATGTTAAATTGTTATATGTTCAATGTTAATGTTTACCTAGTAAAATTTCAAAATTTAAAATAAAAGTGCATACGTACTTATATCGAGACATTAAAATTTCAAAAATAAATTTTCAATTTAATAATTTAAATTCAAAATATCAAATAAAAGATTTTTTTTTTTTCAGTGCAGTTGTTTTGGTGAAAGTTGCCTGGAAATCGATGTTTGATGCCATTTTTAAATCCAAGATGGTGGTTTCCGTACAGAGAAAAACTTGGAAATACTGTCACATACCTCACAATATGGGTATTTTTGGAATCGGTGTGGCGTGAAGGGACCGAAAATCGATGTCAGATGCCATTTTTGAAATCCAAGATGGCAGCTATCGGTCACAGAAAAATTGGAAAATACTGTCGAATACTCCACAATATGGGTATTTTTGGAATCATGCCCAAGTAACAATTCAGTAACCATTTAGCATCCACTCTGATTTATGATGGTTTTATAACGGTAATGAACAATCCATTTAGTTTAAATATAGCATTTCAAAGTGTAAAACATTCCTGCTTAGTAATTCAGCTTTTTGCTGTTTTAAAAACCTTTTATAGTCTGGCAAGAAAGTCAAAAACTGTCTTGCTTTAAAAATAAATTTAAAACAGTTTTCAATCCCTCCTTAAAACTGTTCAGTAATTCAAGCATAAACGTCTTTAGCGATTGTTTATTAATGTCATGATAAAATACTTTATAAACGTGTTCTATCATTATAAAAGCAACGATAAAACCATTAGGTTTTGCATTAGAGAAAAAAGCATTTATTGTTGCTTTTTAGGCTTTTTAAAGTGCATCATTAACTCCCCAATTACTCTGTTTACAAATTGAGCTTAAAAGATGGTTCCTAATAGTTAATAAATGCCAAATTTATGACAAGGAAATCTCGAAGGATAGATGATAAATTTACTTCTTTAGAAGAACCAGCCTAACAGCAACGACTGACCATCTGTCGGAGAAGAGTAAAGTGAGCGGGGCCCTCGAACTCATAAAACATTGTCGAAAGTTGAAAAACATACCAGCCTTCTCCAGATCTTGCGATGACAATCGGAATAACAACCGATAGCAAACCACTGAAACTGTTAGTTAGCGGAGATTAGCTGGTTTCCGATCCAAAGCAGCGATTTTATTCGGCGAAAGAATCAACTCTTTGATCATTTCATTCAAGCGTACATCCCTGCATCATTGGATGGTGCACTTCTGTAACCATCCGGAAGAAGGGGATCTTTTTCGGGAACGTTTGCGCTTCCAGCTGTTCGAAATGTGAAATGTTGTAAAACAGTATCGCAAACTATCTGAGTAACCATCGGGATAAAACCGCCTGGAAGAATCCTGGATCTCACAGCGCAACTATCGAAAGATAAACAAACTTTGACGTTTAACTTTTTGCAGGCAACTTTGCCTCCATAAATGCTGCCATAAATCTGAACGGGTGAGCATCAAGCAAAATGGCTTTGGATAAATACAATTCAGCCTGCAAGTTTTCTTCATAAAAGCCATTTTAAAACCTTATTGATTTGTTAAGGAATTCTTGAAAGCAAAACAACTTTTTCACAAATGACCCATGAAAATCAACTTTTATGCCACCGCCATGTTACAATTAGTTTGCTTGTTTTTTACAATCTTCGATTTTCAATCAATATTTCCTTAGATATAACTATATTTTGGTAAATTTAGCAATAAGCAATCATTTAAATGCGAAAATAATAAAAAAATCTTGGTCAAGCTCGATCTTAAAAATATACTTTTTTTTTTTCAATGTTAAATAATTAGTCAAATCGACGTTTTACGAGGGTGGACTTAATTTTTTTGATGTTTTCACGTACATTTCACATAAAATTTAATATGGCACTTAAAACAAGGCCGCTTAATGAGAACTATTGCAATAAATTTGGATATTCAACAAGATTTTTATACCATCAGTTTCTATTTTACTAATTTTGATAAGATCAGATTCATAAATCCTTTTCTATCTTGATTGATGCTTTCCTAGTGGATTCAGCATGCGGCTAGGAGAAATGGCTCGGAAAGGGTTTTTATTGTTGCTAAATAGCTTTTATTGTAGCTTTCAAATGGTTCTCAATGCGTTCGTCATACAACCTTTTGCAGTAAATCAATCTTGAAGAGCTTCGAGAATACACCCTTCAGAACCTTCTCCAGCGTGGGCTAACTAGACATATTCTAGCCTTAATGAGGTTATGGTGGATGCATTAATGACAAAATAGCCTTGACCAGGGTTTTATGAATGTTGTTTTATAGTTGCTTTGCAGTATTTCATAAAACTTAAAATGTTACTTGGGTGGTGACGTGTAGTCGGATCTGAAATCGACGTCTGACACCATTTTTAAATCCAACGTGGCAGTTAGGGAAATACTATCAAATACCCCAAAATATGGGGTAACGTGTAGAGACCGGAAATCCACGTCTGACGTAAGTTTGAAACACAAGAAGGTGGCTTTAGGTTTTAGAAAAACTGAGAAATACTGTCAAATAGTCCGTAATATGAGTATTTTTGCAATCGGGAGTTCGTGGAACCGGAAATCCATGTCTGACCCCAATTTCCGTAAAATCCATGATGGCGTCTTCCAGTTACAAAAAAAAATGGAAAATAATGTCGAATACTCCACAAAATGGGTATTTTTGTAATCAGGGTGAC